TGACCTTCCTTCTGATTTATCATCAATTCAAAGCGCCTTTCAGTCTGTGATCAGGTCTGCTAGAACCAACTTTCCTGACATTGAGTCCTTCTCACCTAAACCTTGGTGGAACTCTTCCCTGTCAACACTTTTTCGCAAATACCAAGCTGCAAGGAAAAAAATAAGTAAATATGCCAATCCAGCCAACTACATTGAATACATGAAAACGCTAAAAGAATGGAGGTCTGCAGTTAGAAAGGCCACATAGAGCTATCGCGATTCAAGACTTATGTGGTAACGGCAACCCTCGTTCTTTCTGGAATTATATCAATATTCATCGGCATCCTAGTCGTAAATTAAGCGGTTGTGCTGCATGGAATGACCATAATAATAAAAAATACTTGGATATGCTTAAGAGCTACATTCCAAGTGTCAATCCGATTACAATACCTTCAATTCCTTTTAGTAGTCTCAGCAACACACCCTTTTCATTGCATGAGCTAACGTATGTTTTACATTCCAGAAAGATTGCTACTGCTGCAGGTTGTGATGGAGTCAAGTATGACATGCTCAGAGCGTTGTCTGGAGGAAGCCTTAGCATTCTCTTGCATGCGATTAACAACTGTTGGTCCATCAACTTTATACCCTTAGATTTGCGATGCATCAAAATAGTTCCCATTCCTAAGGCAGGTAAAGCCTTAAATGATTTAAGTAGCTTCAGACCAATTTCACTGATATCTGTATTCATAAAGACTATCAACCTCATGGTTAAGGAGAGACTAACTGATTCCCTGAAAACTGAGAACATTATTCCAGCTTGTTCTTACGCCTATCAAAAAAGGAAATCTACGAATATGTGCGTTAATAAACTATGTTTTTTCATAGCTAGCTTAAAAAAAGAAGGGAAAATGGTTGTCATGCTTTCCCTGGACATCAGCAAAGCCTACGACTGTGTCAACTTGATTAAGCTTGGTAGAATTCTCTTAAACTTTTCGATTCCTCTTCAAATTCGGCTGTGGATACTTAATTTTTTATCCAAGCGTGTGTTGGTGATGGGTACTGAAAAAGGTGAAATACACGGTGGTATCCCACAAGGCAGTTGTTTAAGCCCCACACTCTTCAATCTATACACAGCTGCTTTGCATGATGTTCAAGATGACAAAACTCATATTTTTCAATATGCAGATGATTTCCTAACTGTATCTGCGGACTTATGAAAAGGCATTCAAAGTCTGTCAATCTGGATGCAACATCATCAAACTCATGACAAACAATCAGGCAGGCTTGCCTCCCAAAAATGCTTTGACCGTTTACAAATCTCTAGTCAGGTCCAAAATTGAATTTGGACATTCCACATGTTGCAATTTTCCAAAATATATTGAGAAACGTATGCAAGCATTTGAAAACCGAATGTTGAAGCGGTGTGCTGCACTGACCCCCTCAACTCCTCAACATACTCTCAATGTCATATCCGCTGAGTGGCCCGTTTCCGAAAGAGCCCTTTTTTGCACTGCCAAGGAGGTGATTAAAGTCAAGATCATAAATCCTTCCTTTTTTCAGGAAATTATGTCTCTCAGTGATACTGTCACTTGCAGCTATACTTTTTCAAAAACTTCGTCATATTTTTGATAAATTAGATTCAATTCCTCCCTTGAATTTCATTACCAGCAAATGCAAAATCTTCATGAACATTCTCGAATCGATCTCTACCTCAAAACAAAATGCCAACTTCTCTTGTATGAGGATGTTATGCCAAGAAAAGTCGTTTTTTATTACAACAATGGCTACGATCTATATGCCACCGACGGTTCCGTCGCACGTAATGTATCTGGCTTCTCGGTTGTGAAACATCTATCTAAAATAGCACATCGAGTCAAAGTGGCGGAGGAACTTTCCTCAACTTTTATTGAGTTGCTCGCCATACGACATGCTATTAAAGTTGCTATCTCCTATGGTATCAGAAGGTTTGTTATTTTTTCTGACAGCAGGTCAGCTCTCCTTCTAATAAATAGAAGAGATGCAAAGAATCAATATGTGTTTAATATTCATAAGATGTTGCATGAATCTCAAGTGGATGCCTGTCACCTCGTTTGGGTACCCGGCCACTGCGGCTTTTTTTTTAATGTAAAAGCCGATCTTCATGCAGGGAGAGCTCGTGTTGAAGGGACAATTTTATCCATCAAATACACTCCCAATGAAGCAATTCGCAGCCACATCCTTCAACAACTAAACGACGAATTTAAAGAGATCGCGCGCGTTAAATCCAATCGTCTTTTCTATAAATTAAATCCCACATTTCAATTCAAACCCTTTTCTGTATCCTCTTTTAATTCCTGGGAAATGAAAATTCTTTATAGACTCATGAGTGGTCATACTTATGACAAAGTTTATTTAAAAATGATTCGTGCTAAACCATGTGATGGTTGTGAAGTTTGCAATGTTGTTGAGTCTGCTGAGCATCTAATCTTCAGATGTCACAGGCTTGATGGCATTACAGATTCCTTTAGCTTCTTCAAGTTATATGGCTGTCTCCTCGATCTCTTTACAGCAAAAAATGTACGTCATCTCGGGGAACTAATTTGTTTTATTAGAAAAGCTAATTTATCTTTTTAGATAAGCTAATTTATCCTTTTAGAATTTTTTTTTTCTCCTCTTCTTCCTTTTTTTTTCTTTTGTTTTTGCTTTCAATCATCTTCTATTACCATAGCATTCCTTTTTCGCTTTCAGCCAAAGTTTGCAACACTGTTTGACTTTCAAGAACGCAACAAGCACAATTACACACAGGCACACAATTACACTTAACATGCTGGCTCCAGTTATTACGGCCGCTCTCTTTTTTGTTACGTTATAACGTCCGCAAACGAACTTAGGGTAGGATGTCAGTCGGTCTATTTTTGCCGAAAATGTAGCAATAACGGCATCCCGTTAAGCAAAATCGCGTGATTTTGCGGTTTGGTCCTTTTTTTTGCAAGAATAGCGGCTAGCCGCTAGGTAGCAACGCAAAGAAAAAGGTAAAAAAAAGGATAAAGAAGAAATCATGCGAAAAGGGTAGGTTTTGGGTTTTTTTTGATTCGTGAGCAAAAAAAGTCTGTTTTCGGCAGTGCAACCGAAAGGTTCTGGTTCATCGTGAAAAATTTATAGTTGATAGAAATCAAAATAAATATGTGTCATGATGTTGTGTTAGTAAAACAGATTAGTTTCAAAACAGAACAGTAGAATATGCATTAAAGCATTGGGGTGCAAACGAAAAGAAAAAAAAGCAGAAAAACAAAAATTGTGCAGTAAATATTTTAAAGAAAAATTTGTAAAATTCTTGTAAGATGGATTTTCTGAATAAAATAGTCCAACTTGAAAAAAAAAAGACAAAAGGAGAAAAATTAAATGTATCAACAAACTTGGAAAAGAGAAAAAACTAGTTACGGTTCAAGCCAAAGTGTAGCTTAAACTTTTTTACGAATATTAAGAAGAAAAAAAAAAAGGAATCAAGGTCTGCTAGTTACACATACACAAATATTACTATGGATAGGAACAAATTTTTATATAAATAATCGCGTTAAATACCAAAATATTGATAAGGAAAATCTAACTAAAAAGTAGAATCAACAACGATCAGAAGGCTAAAGAAACGCGTTAAGGTGACGTTAAAAGGTAGTGGCGTGTATTAAAGAAAACTTTCAAAAAGAAAGAAAAACTTAAAGATTTCCTACCTTTTTTTTCCAAATAAATTACCGATGTACATGATGGTAGAAATAAATAACTAATATATGTGTGTCGATATTCGTTCTACTAAGTAAAATAAGAGAGGTTTCCTAAGGTCTAATGTCGAGAATTCTGAGAAAGTTGCTTTGTAAAATTGTCAAAAATTTATAATAAAACAATGAACAACATGAAATTTATAATAAGTCAATAAACAGTGAAAATAAAATATTTGTAGTTTTTATTGCTACGGTTCGCTAGAAACACGTGTGCAAAACGGAAGTCAAAGCTACCTGTGAAATTGCCCATGAACCGAATCGAGATATGAAGCAGTGAAACATCTCAAAGAAGCTAACTTGCTCCAGGTGAAAACTAGGAACATAAAACTCGGTTTAACCAAAGGATAGTCTTAAAAGCAGGTGCTTATTGGAGAAAGGAGGAAAGCGCAGCGGTTCTTTTCATTGGGACGAAAATGCGGTGAGGGCTGGCGCTGCCACGAGATAAGAAGGATCGTTTTGCTACTCCATCCTGCCTCAGGTATTCTTAGGTAAGAAGTAGGTTAAGTCCAAATGTGCGGCTAGGCGGCACCCGCTACTGCGGGAGCAGGAGTGCGATGAGGGGGTGTACGTGAGAGAAACTGTAGGGAGACATGGGACAGATACCGACGGATAAGGAGAGAACAACGGACGACGTACAGGACCGACGACGTAATTAGCTAGCGTAAGTGCAAGTTTTTTCTAGTTATTACCTTATTACAGCTAATGTTTCTTTCTGTGGTGCGCAATGGCGGGCCAAGAGTAACCGCTCTACCTTAGAAGAGCTAGGGCGCATCACCGTAGAAACATTAAAACGTTTTGTACATAATTGTGACCAAAAATTACGATAGTTTATTGTTTGGACATGTAAGCCACAAATTTATTGGCTTGGTCCAACTCCATTCAACATACCAAAAAAAAAAAAAAAATTTTTTTGCACACATAATTATTGTCTATGAAGTACATATAGAATGTTTTTTTTTGGTATAAAAGATAAATCAAGAATATGTAATTTTTGTATTCTTAAAACACACATAAATACAAAACAAATATTAAAAAAAAAAATTTTTTTTATTATTTCTTCTAGTTAATACTCAGAATAATGCATTGCGTATATAAGTATTTGACGGGAGTATGCTTTTGGGTGTACAGGGATGTGAGAAAAATAAAGTTCAAAAAGTCAAGTCTCCTCAAATGAAAATATTCGCATATTTTACAAAAATTAAAAATAAGATGAAACGATTACTAAAGTTCCCTAAATAAAGAAATAACGACAGAATAATAAAAGTGAACTTCATCTAGAAAGAGCTATAGAAAGTGTTTCATCAAAACCTGCAGAAAAATTAGCAAGCCACCTTGCAGATGCTCTTCAGGGGTGGTGTGGAAAATTGGACAATAACAATGTAAACGCGTATTCAACAATAAAGGCATCAAAAGACTTCTCCGCGCTCGCGTGTTTAAGGAGAGAGATAAAGAGAGAGAGAGAGAGTAATCTATAACCATTTTGTGCAAATGCATTCTCTGTCTTGTTCGTTTCGAAAATAACGTGGATTACGTTAATATAAATCTCACAAAAATACATGTTTTGTTGCTTTGTCCCTAAAAAAATTATCTATTCTAGCAAATGCTATAAATGTATTTAATTGATTATTAAAATTAAGAGATAAAGTGACACCAGAATAATATCGCTGAACAAATGGATTGAAGCATAATACAGTACAAAATTATGCATCGACGAACGGTGTTTCCAATAGCGCTGTTGCGCGTAGTAGCGGCGGTGGGTGCAAATGCAATTATTGGCAATTTGCAACAAGTGATCGCCGTTAAATCTGAAAACTTTGTGTGTAGCACGGTATTTTCACCAAATGAATCTACGGTTCCTATGGACACTGTTCTAAAACAACTAGTAAAAGTAGAAAGTAAGCAAAAGTATTAAATAGATACACGTAGGTTTAAATCATTTAAAAGAGTATGACTAAGTGTTCACATATAAGGGAGAGAAAATTGTGTTGTACTTTTCTTACCGCAACAGGTTTATAATAGAAGTAAATTGATCGTTCAATATTTTCTAAAATATGAGCGAGTCAACGATTTTGTTATATTATATTCTGACGAATACATTTTAAAAGGTTGGAGGGTAAGTTCTGTCGTATTTTAAATAAAATTTTTGCGATATATGTCGGTAAATAATCCTCATTTTACAAGTCGAGAAATTGCAGAAGAATCAGACATTCATCATACAACGGTTGGAGATCACATTAAATCTCTTGGGTTTGTGTTAAAGCAAAGTGTTTAGGTTCCACATGAATTAACGGAAAAGAATTTGTCTGATCGTATAAGAGTGTGTTCATCACATCTGATTAGACACAATGTAGAGCCGTTTTTGGACAAGCTGGCTACTGGAGGTGAAAAGTGGATTCTTTACGAGACTATTGCGAGAAAAAAATCTTGCCGCATCAGCAACAGTTCTAAAACCAAGTATTCATCAACGAAAAGTACTGCTTTGTTTGTGGTGGGACGGGAAACGTCCAGTGTACTACGAATTGCTGAAACGGGGAAAAACCATTGACGCGTATCTGTACTGCAATCAGTTGGATTAATTGAATGCAGCTATCAGAGAAAAAAGACATGCATTAACATGTAGAAAAGGAATAGTATTATACCACGATAATGCTCGACCGCATACTGCAATGGTGACACAAAAAAAAACTGAAAGCGTTAGGATGGGCAGTCCTCAGTCACACACCGTATTCACCCGCCATTGCACCATCTGATTATTACCTGTTCAGATCTGTGCAAAATGGGAAGAAAAACTCAAGTCTTTTGAAAGTGTCTTTAACGCAGTTGCTGACAATTTTAACTCCAAGGACGAGAGCTTCTACAAAACAGGAATTCACAGGTTACCTGAAAGATGGCAACAGGTTGCAACAAATAACGGAGCATATATAATTGATTGATATAAAACACCTACTTTTATAAATAAATTCAAATATTTTCTTTAAAATACGACAGAAATTTCCCTCCAACCTATTATTCTTGGATCGTAGGCAGCGGCTTACCTGAAGCGTATAGATAGCGAGCTGCTATTGCTATATTTAAGGTATGCAGGAACGTAAAAAATTATAAAGTTAATAGAGAATAAGTAAGAAAATTGTATTCGGGCGGGGCGGAATCTTTTATGTCGACCACGTTTGTCTAAAAAAGAGCAAAAAAAAAAAATAAAATGTGCGCAGTTTATATTATTAAATGTCTGCGGTCATTGCTCCAATTTGTGTACACCAATGGGCGTTTAATTTTAAATTAATATAAAATGGTTTCTATTTAATTTTGAAGTTTGTAATCACTCTATTTAAATGTTAGCCTTTTGCGTTGAAATGATTCGGTAAATACAGGTTAGCAATCGAAACTTTAGGTAGTCGAGGAAGGCAATTTAAGAAAAGTATGAACGAAGTAGGAAATGTATTTTCCGAAATTATAAGCAAGGAGTGTAAGACAGTTAACTATAAGTTAAAGCTGATCCAATAATGGATTTAGTGTATGGGAATCTGTCGAATACTTTTGTTAACTCAAAATAGACAAGCACACAACTGCTGCTATCATTCAGATATCTAATCGCCGTTGTGAAAGAAACCAAAACTTTCGAGGTACTACATCCTAAGCCGAAGCCAAACTGGACACCATATAAGGCATTACCGTTATTAAAACATGGATCAACTTGTTCCATAATTATCCGCTCATTTATATTGGAAAGCCAGAGTAAAATGCTAATCGGTCGAATATTGTTATGTGTAAAGAACGAGTTCCGTTTAAAATAGCTTTTATTCGAGCTATTTTCCACTTCTCAGAAAATGTAGAGATCATTACTATAGCGTTAACAAGAAGTGGTTTGATATGTAAGGAAGGAATAAAATGACAAGTTTGATTGGTATTCCGTCAATACCAATCGAAACAGGTGGTACTTTGCGAACGACAGCATAGAGGATGTCTTTGTCCACATTTTAAAATAAAAAATGCGCTCCATTCCTGAAATTTTTGAAAATTGATTGTTAATATCGGACAATAGACTGATTTAGGATAAAGAGTACGTTTACGTCTACCTCGCTATCCTATTCACTACCAATTTAAAGTAGACTAAATTCTTTTATTTCCTCACCAAATATTTCTCTCAAGCTCTTGGAAGTACCTAATAAATACGTTAGTGATAGTATTCTTAAAGTTTGTATAATAAATTCATCTGTTCAAGCCTAATAACATTGACAAAAAGTGATTGAAAAATTCACGGATGACATGAAATTCCAGGAGCAACGGCTTGACTATATTGTCCCGGCGTAAGATTCGCGCTTATGAGATAAGCGAAATAGATTGTTTGAACATTAAAATGTGTCAGTAAGCAACTGTGTTTGCAACAGGGGCTTAAATACATGGCACGTACATTAAAAAATTTACTGTGTGGAAATACATCGCACACAATTGAAAGATTCTATTATCATTATAGCTTTGTGACACATAAAAAGTAAGTCGGCGTATGTTATTTCAAAAGAAGACATGTTATCTTCAGGCAAGCGGACTACGTCGACACGCGGTTTGTTATGGGAGCTCAGTTCAACACAGAGAGATTTACATATCCCTTCTTTCATGAGTCGAAAAACCATCCTCTAATAAGGTTTAGAGGAAATGTCCTTTCGACACTGGTTGATAATTTTTAGACGATCTGTACCATGGATGCAAAACAGCAGAATTAGAATTAATAATATGATGTATTGTATTGTAATATTATGCGCGATCCACGAGGGAGATCTAAAAATTTTGTTGTACTCCAATATCTGAATGTAAAGTAGGTGAATATTTAAATTTTATTACACCTGTTACGAACGTATCATAATCATATGAAACAACAGCACCCTCGTCGACCGTGAGATTCACTCCCTTCACCATCAATGATGTCCTAAAGAATCACCGCACATACGTATCCCTAATCAGCAGTACTGTTACGTTACACCAAAATGTTATCACTGTTATTTAATCGGGTGCCATCCATTTTCGATAGATTTACCTTATAGTAAAGATGGACTTTAATCACATGCTCCGATTGATATGCGAATTTCTCGATTGATATGATGACATTCGTACGATTATAATGCCGAACAAGTTTGTTATCAATTCCAATGAATGGTTTTTCTTTACTATGTCACCCTCCATTACACTCATGGCAGCTTGCACATCATTAATACGTGAGCTACATTTTGCCGCAAATTTGGTTTCTATGTTTTAAGTTTTTTCCTCAATAGTATCACGGAGCACTTGAAATTTAAGGTTACGGTCTGGATAATTTTATTGACAACGTCTTGAAGTTGCTGAAGTAGAATAGTTTCGTGCGGTATTTTTATGGAATCAGAGGAGTTACAGAAGTATTTCCGATTCCCAATTAACATTGCATACTCATCATGTGAAATCTTGACACAATCGATACGAGATCATTTACTACATTAGAGGAGATAGACGGTTGCGCTTTTCTAAATGCCCTTTTACACAAACCAAAATACATGATAAGTAAATCTGGAGCAATACTCGAATATAACCAAAACAAATAGCTGGAGCAAAAAAAAAGCGAATCAAGCAGGAGCAACGCAAATTTGTGTATGCGATTACTTGAAAGGCTAAAAATGCTACACCGAAATAACAGCTAGTTTCAAGAATTCTTTAAAGTGGGATTATCCGAGTGCAAAGTTAGGAAAAAAATAAGACTATCTTCCATACAGTATCTCCAGTATTTTTTTCACAGGTTTCTTTATGAAGCGCTCCCCTCGCTGGGTTTCATAAGATCCGATACTTTCGGTGTTGACAGGCGTCGTCTTTTTCAAAAAGGGTTATTAGTTTCTATAAAATTTGAAAACCATATAGTTCAGAGACTTCCAGACTTTACGCAAAATACGCCGCTGGCAAAGTTGACTTGAGCGTGCAACGCCCAATTTAAGTCAGCAATAGCAATTTACAATGCCGCCACATTCTATTCGCTCCTAGCAATTAATATAAAATTGACAAAAGGATTCTAATATTTTCACCAAACGTTCAGTTGATTATTAATCCGAAGGATCATGGCGACCGTAAAGTTAACGTTTAGCGAATTTTGTATTTACTTGATGTTGTTTTCAAGACGTAATGTTTAGGTTATATAAGGCGAGTGGTAAAAGTACTGGACCAATCTTACATTTATATTATAATTATAATCCCTGTACTACGATTTTCTTCAATATTCTCCACTTGTTTAAAATATTGAAAACCCCATAGAATTTTTTTTCCTGGCAAAGAGATATATTTCAGGATTTTTTAATATCCCTTTTCGAGGCACCAGACAATAGAATGTCTAAGAGAATTTATCACTTTTTATGCGCCAAACTTCCATACTGGCATGTAGTGAATTTTTTAGAAGAGGTATTGCAATTTTTGGTAGCAATGGGTATAGCTGCATGATACTATATTGCATATTGACGTGGTTTCCTGGAAGAACGAAAGGCTTGTAACCTTGACAGTAACCAATTTTCCGGTCATCAAAAGGAGGTTCCTTTTTCAAGATAGGCGTTTGACACGAATAGGTATCGGAGCTAAGGGTGTTAATAGCATATTTTATTTTTGAGCGGACTAGACCTGTGGTAGACCTGTTCGGTTATTTATCAAGAACTTGATTAGATTGCGTCTCAATTTACAGTCTTTGAAAGCATTTTCATAATGACCTGGTAAAACTTGGCTAGCATTAATAATTATTCACAGAAAATGAAATGCTCTTTTTTTCTCCAACTCTGATCACATTAATAGATAGATTCATGATTTTCTTCTGATCCTTTCGCAAAATACATAGCCCTAGTTTTGCCAGAATTGAAGTGTACCTTGACGTCAGCAGCAGTATATATAGAAAACATTGGGCTGTAGCAGAAAAGTATTCACGGTTGTATCAAATCCAATTAAAACAATTTAAAAATGATCAGCGTACTGAAAAATGTGAATTTTGTCATGTTGAATTTTATGTAACTTAGCAGTTTACAGGTTAAAAAGGATTGGACTTCAATAACTACCCTGGGATAAACTTCCAAACTCTCCCGCTGCAGCACTGCCAATGACCAGGACATGACAAGGCAGTTCTAGGAGTAGTAATTTTGGACTGAACGGTTTCTCATAGAGGCACGACATCTAAATTTGATTTAATTTTACGCAGTTTGTTCAACAATCGTTTGCGGGAGATAAAATTATCAAAAACTATGTTGGCAACCAAGACTTACTTCGAAAATAATAGGAGTATTGCAGCTTTTGCCTGGCGGGGTATTTAAAGTTTTCCATTAAAAACATAAGGTAGTGGAATTGGTAAAAGTAAGGCCAAAAACACTGTTACAAACAATACCCCGTCTTTTACAATTAACGGTTAGATTATCCTTGTTCAGTTTATCGAACCTTGTGCACGTCATAATATTCGCAAAAACTTTTATTCTGCTGGAAAAGACGAAGTCACCCTACAAGCGGCGTCTAGCGTCCCAATTGCCTGCTAAGTAAGATCACGTTACGTATGTTAAGACCTTATTAACTTCCTCCATTGGGTTCTTAGAAAAAGTAGTGGATACCGGCTTTGATAATGGCGGAAGCGCACTATTAATGCTATCGTTGTTAAGACACTCAGAACGATTTATTCCTTGTAGGAGACATTTTCAGTACAAGATGTCTGGGCCGCAGTTTCACCTTTGTCCTTCCAAAATTTCGCAAATGCCCAAATATACAATACTTGAAACATTGTTCAATGTTAGAAATCAAAAGCGAACTATTATGCTTGTAGTTGGAATACACTCCTCCTTATCCGTTAAATCTCTTTGATTGGGTCTGATAGCCGATCTGATTGTGATATCAGACTTGGGGAACATAATAATATCGTTCATTTGCTAAGGGAAATTTCGATATTGCCTAATTGATCAACAAAACTTTCAAGAATATAAGCTTCCATCTTCTTACCGCTGAAATTATTGTTTTTCACAAATTTGTTAGCATTTGACGCTATGTCGAAAAGTAGTTTAGCTATCCCGTCACAGATCTTTAAACAGCTTAAGGTTATCTAACTTAAAAGTCTGTAAATAATCGCTGACTCGCTGACCATTTTCGTTCCCACATGTTTTTATAAAGACGAAATATTTAATGGAAATATCATGATCGTAATTGGCTGGTGCTATTTTCCCTGCCTTGTTATCATCACTTGAGCCAACATTTATTTTCTCGAGATTAAAACATTTCTAAATCAGAGTGCAAAATTTCTTCTTCATTATTAGCATTAAAGCTTTTGAAGTTTTATTCCTCCACAAGAATTTTTGTATTACTTATTAAATGGCTGCTAATTGACAACGACTGCCACAGTCTTCTTTTGGACGCATGCCGGGTTGTTTTGTGTTTCAATGAACACCGCACAAGGAATTAACTTAGTGCAGAGAACTTGTTAACAAGGAATTTGATAACGTATTTCAAAATTTTTTTTCTAAAAAAAAAAATTGACAGATATACTTTTTTTTTTTGGGTGTTGCGTTAGGATGGACCAAACGGCCGTAAAGGCAAGAGGTTTACTTTGAATAAAAGTTTTTATTAAAAACGAAAGCCCCTTTTTTTACTTTTTTTCACTATTTGAAAAAAGAAGGAAAAAAACATTTTGTTTTTAAATATGGGAAAATCGTCTGCCGTCATTCAGGGTTGCTCGAGTTTGAAATATGATATTTCGTTATAATATTATACAAATATACGAAATCCGAACAAGAATATTCGTAATCATTTTTGTTTCAAGATGCTGTATGCCAGTTAAAATTAAACAAATAAATCCAAAACAATTTTTTGCTTTGAACTGCTAAAGGGATAATTAATTCCTCTTTGAAAGAGTAGCTCAATGCATAGCATAAATCTGTTTGCCAGTTAAAATTAAACAAATAAATCAAAAACAATTTTTTGCTTTGAACTACTAAAGGGATAATTAATTCCTCTCTGAAAGAGTAGCTCAATGCATAGCATAAATCTTACTTTATAAAAGTAAAGTAAATTGGATTGTATTCCTCAGGAGGAAATCGCTGGAACACATTAAATGGCTGTCGTTCTGGGCAACCAATTCAATATATAGAATTTATTTAATATTTCCTTTAGTTTCAGATATCGATGATAATCCATTGGAATTCACCAGCGTACATTTCATGAGTGATAATTCACGTTTGGCGACTGTGTATGATGCCATTGATGGGCATGAATTCGACTCAGACCGTAAATGGCAAGGTAACATTACCATCAATTTGCGATTCATGGGTGAAGCTCATATACGTACCGAATTGCTTAACTCCTTAACGAATATTACAAAAACTTGTCGCAATATTTTAAAACTAACGATTATTCGAAAACCACATGCAATAGACTATGTCTTTACCGGGTCAGTGGCATTGTTAGTGTCTTTGCTGTACATAATTTTTGGAGCAGCACTTGACTTGACCATACTAAGAACTTTGCTGCGACGCCCTGTGGTAATGCTAACTAATCTCGTATTTTCTTTGCAATTTTACGAAATTTAATAATTCAAGGGTCCCACGATTGGCTTCTTGAGTCAATTTTTATTCATGCCTTTACTTAGTTACGGCATTGGTTATCTCATGTTTCCGAACTCTGTGGATATGCAATTGGGTTTATTTTTTACTGGTGTTTCTCCTAGCGGTGGAGCGTCAAACATGTGGGCTGTCATATTGGGTGGTAACATTAACCTATCGATATTAATGACGACGCTTAGTAATTTTGCCGCTTTCGGAATGATGCCTTTGTGGATTTTCACACTGGGTAGCATGATATTTGCAAGAGGCAATATGCGTGTACCGTATGAGAATATTACGATGTTTGCCATTTCCTTGATAGTACCCTTAGCCATTGGTCTAGCTATCCAAAAATATTCACCTCGTACCACACGAATCTTAATGCGCCTACTTAAGCCAGCTTCGTCTTGCTTAATTTTATTTATCGTAATTTTCGCTATAATAACAAATTTGTATTTATTTGAATTGTTTTCTTGGCAAGTAAGTAGAACTAATTACTATACACCTTAAATTTTATTTGATTTATATATTTCTCTGAAGATAGTTTTAGGCGGCTTATTGCTACCCTGGTTGGGTTACATATTGGCTTGGTTATTGGCAAAGCTGTTGCATCAAAATGCTGTCGACTCTCTAACTATAGCCATTGAAACTGGCATCCAAAATACGGGTATAGCTATATTCTTACTACGCTTTAGTTTGTCACCACCGCAGGATGATCTAACGACTGTTATACCGGTATCGGTGGCAATTATGACACCTTTTCCTTTGCTAGGTATATATCTCTACAAAAAGTTCGCCACACGTTCTTTTAAAGGTAATCTATCTGATGATATAAATCCTAGTATCCAGGATGCGTCCGGTTAAGTTGTAATTATTTAAACAAAATAAAGTATTTTTGTTCATATTTGAATTTTATTTGCCAGTGCTTCAAACTACGACTAAGATCGTTAATAGTTTCATAAGGTTTGCAAAATTTTTAATAAGCAGTAAGCCGTAGCAGGTTCTAAATTAAGTTTTCGCAACTCTTGTATGTAACGCAAACACTTTATTGGTGTTGTTTGAAGCAGCACGGAGTTTAATAAATTCGGACTCAAGTCATAGTAAGCGATGAGGCCAGCTAAAATGGGTGCGTGTTGGGCGCTTAAACCTCTTATAATATTTGGCTGAAAGTCGCTAGTTGCTATAAACTGTTGTAACGGCAATTGGAATAATTTTAAATAAGACTCCATACTCCTTTGAAATTGTTCGAGAACGGCTGTCACCAACTCCTTAGAGAATAGCATATGTTGTTGAGGACCGTGCTTTAGATAATTATTTATTAATTTTATTTGCCAGACATCGTCAAACGAAAGCTGTTGAGTTTTAGTATGTAGTACATGCTGAGAAAAAAATATTTTTCAATAAGTTAGCTTTCTTTTGTAAAAAAAAAAAAATATTTTTGAAAATTTACATTATATAAAGCCAAATATATTGCCAAAACATGCATTTTATCCTTTACCACAGCATTATAGAACAACATCGTCAGAAATTGCTTCAAAAATAATTCATTTACTGCGGTCTGGTCATCGTCCATATGGAGAAAGCGGTCGGTAAAAGCTATAACATAAGGTTCATTAGAGAATCTTTCCAATGTCTTCGAATCAACTTCCCAGCATAAATATTGCTCTGTGGTTAATGTCTGAGAAAAGAGGCTTTTCAGACGATCTGGATCTTCCAAATATGATAAACAGCCTGAACGTTTTTTAATGTCAATACAAGCAATGTTCGCCAATGCATTACTTAGAATTGAGAAAATGCCTTTAAATTTGAAAAACGATCGTAAAAATCTTGAAACCTACACTAACTGTTCCCAATTGCGATTTTTATCAAATGATACCGGCCAATAATTGGGATCATCCACTATGACTTTTTGTAAAGAATCCAAATCGGGTAAGAGGCATGGAGCAATTGGCAAACGTTTTAGCTCTGTTGCACCCACTTCCAAAACTGATATATTACATAAACATAACTTTTTGGTATCAATATCACGCGGTAAAAATAATCGTGCTTCTACTGCCAGGACATACAAATGTCGAAAGGCTTGTAAATGATAACTAAAAAATAAATTATTTTCCTTTATAATGTGTAAGTCTGAAAATTACAAAAATCTTTTTATACCGATTATCATTACTGTGGTTGGGAAATTTTGGGAACAGGGCGCATACTAGAGCCGCCACTGCTTCGGGAGTTTTGGCTATAGTAAAACGACCCGCTCCCAAAAAAAGAAAGCCCAAGGACATGTGTATCGCCATATGTGAGCCGTAAGTAACATGAGGATATTGTGGGCCGATACGGGATCGAAGATAGCGTACTATACGTAAAATCTCCAAGTCTCCTGAGCCGGCGAACACCAACGAAATGGCCAACAAAATCACCATTAAACTAGTTTCTACTGTCGTGCGACCAGCAAATTCTCCCACATATTTACCAGGAAAATTCAAAAACAATTTAATACAGCGTCTCAATGTTTTAAAAGCTATCGGATTCTTCGTGCCAGCAAATTTCAGTCCGATACAAAAAGCTGCGCCGGCTATTATATTGCAATAGGCTTGGCTGCAACAAAAATGTAGTAATAAAAATTTGTTATATCGGCATGCGAGCTTACGTTATAGCCTCATGATCTGTGTCTTCTTCGTCATTAACCGTTGCTCCTTTTTCCACATCAAAACGTAAATTTTCAGGAAATTGATTATGTAACCATTCCTCATCAGGTTGTACTTTAGACCACATAATCAAGCCATGGGCTATAGTACGCAATAGCAACAAATCTGGGCGTACCAAATCTAGAAGATATCTCGTGTTAGGAGAATCCATCCACTCAGCTACCGCTTTATTGTCAGTATTAAAAAACATTAAACCCAATGCTAAAGTCGCCCCGGGAGCGGTAACATCTATATTAACATGGTCTCCGTCTCGCACTTGAAACGATGGCAGTTTGTATTTCTCTTTTTGCGATCCCGTTAGTACACGTTTATTCCCACCCACCATGTAATAGTGCAATGTATCCGGTAATTGTAGGTCTCTTAATCCAGCTGATGATTCACCTTGACCCAATGTGACTAAACCTAAAGCTAAACCAGCTGTTAAAGCATATGATTCCCTTTCCACACTATTTTCCATTTCGGGGCCGGGAGGACGACCCACTTCTTGTAATAGTACCTCAGCGATGTGACGCTTAGCGGTTCCTTGATATAGCAAACCAATACCCATGAGAGAAGCTACTTGACAATTTTGGGGTATATCCAATTCCAAAGCGGTAGCAGGCAACAGAGCTTCTAAATGAACGCTTAGCATTTTAGTCGTGGTGGTATGCATAGTACCACGATGAGTGGCTGAAATTCCTAGAAGCAAGCCAACTGTTGTCATTTCGTCGCATTTTATCAAGTAATCGTAGATACTCATGAATGTTAAAGTTTTCAAATGGCCGTTTAATCCCAAAGCCATCAAAAAGCCAGCGTGTTCAGTAGATGTCTCAGTTTGCCCCTTGGGTTTGTTGTATACAATCCAAGTAGAATCCACATCACGAGCGTCGGGTGATATTTTTAAACCTGCTGCTACTCCATTGTGGAAAGTTGGCCAGAGACTCATATTAGCTGGAAATTCAATTTGTTGCATTTCTACGGTGGCTCCCTTAGTAGGCTCTCTACCTGTTAGACATAGCTTAGGTATGGGCATCGATTCTGTTGGATTAGGTAAAGAAGTTCTCAAAGTAAATATACCTCGGCCCATTGGCAAAGTCATCGTACGTGTACACAGTGTAAATAATTGTTTTTCCTGTTCTTCGATAAATTCGTGATCTGAAGTACCCGGCGATTGAGTAATATCAATAGTAACGGGTTCCGAGGATATCAAAAGTCGATGAACTTCCGTTATGCGTATATCATCAGGGAAGCATAAACTTAATAATTTCGTATCAATATTATCCATTCCATCATCCAAAGTTGCTCCCATTTGAGAAATTCCTATCTTTGAAGGAGAGCAGCGAGCTGAAAGAGAATTTTCGGCTTCAAAATTGCTCCATTGTTCTACACCTGAACTATCGTGTACATAAAAATTTTGATTTTGCAACATGGAATGTGACACTAACTCGGAACGTAAAACCAATTCGTAAGTAGATGAAGAACTGCCAAGCGGTGGTTGTAAACGAGCATTTTCTAAGCATTCTGCAATCATTAAATGCAAAGCGACCGGTAAACGTTCAATATGTTTGCGAGTCATTTCTGAATTGAAGTGAGAAGATAAGAAAAACCCATTTTTAAAGTGCATTTTAATAATATTGTTTATCACGTACCCATATTAATTAACATTTGTATAACTTGTTCAGAGCGGGGAACGGATAAAGACATATAGCGTTTTTTCCTTTTAGGAAAAAATGATTGTACGGAATCAGTAAATTCCAAAGGTTTAATCCAATGTTTGATTTTCAAATGACCATGCATTATTAAAGTTATAATCTAAAAGTTAACCATTACAAACCAATGTTGTATTAAATAAAATAAAATGGACGACCTGCAAGACATTACGACTAAGATCGTTAATAGTTTCCACATAAACATAAGGCTCGGCATCAATATTTTGCAAAACCCTCTCCAATTGTTTGTAAACACTTGGTGCAGGTACTTGCAGTAATTCTTTTAGTAACATTTGTGCGCCATGTTGCTCAGTTAAAATGTATTTCTTTGAAACATTGTTCGCCAAAAATGGAAAATCAAGTGTGTAAAGAAGGATATAGGATTGCAATTGCATATCAACCGCCAATTGATGTAAAAGCTATGATTAACAATGAAAAAATTTTTAAAGATTACCTTTTATAATGAAAAACATTGCTTTACCTTTGCCAAAGGCTTTAAATTTTTTCTGAGAGTATCATCAAGCTTGCAGTCCTCATAAAATAAATGTAGACAATAAAATATGGCAGGTATTGTATTAAATAAGCACGCTGATGTGTCAATACTACAATACTGATTACTATTATGATCAGTAGACGAACTTTTAGGAATTTCCCCTATAGTAGTCAACATAAACTTCCAATCTTCTTCGGTACCAGCATGGATTTCATTATTTTTTTTCCGTTTCTTTGGTTCTTCAGCACTAAATGAACTTGCTACTGCACTAGTACTCAAATCGTGTAAAGCAGTTGGAAAACCCATTAAACCCAAGAGGACATTGCGAAACACATTCCATTCCTTTTTAATGCAATAATCTCGCGAGCCTGGTGGATTTCGAGCACTGTACCATTTAATTATCATTTGTATATATTGATCACGTTTTAATATTTGCCTTAAGCCCACAATACAACGACCTACAAGTTTTGTTTCATTGATTAAAGGTAAAGTAATGCGCAGCATTTTACCCGTCGCATACACTAAAGTCAAACGGTTGCCTGCTGGGTCCCGCAAACTTATGCATACATTCGAAGATCTATTTAAAACACAGTTAGCAAAGGAACAATCCTATGATATAATAAAACTAATTTACCTATTCGATAATTTTGTTGGTAAAGGTTGTACTGGTGACAGCATATGAAGTTCTTCTTCAAGAGTGTTATTCATCGATTTTTGTGTAGATGGCAAGAGGCTACTTCGTTTCGGAAACGAAGTGTAAAGAGATTTATCCAGTGTATGTGGCATAACCGCAACGTTAGCAGCAACGCTTACAGGCGTTATAGGAGTATTACATAATGTATTGTTTGGTATATGAACTCTAGTTACCAATATTAGGCCAGTATACAACAACAAGCTGCCAGATGGATCCAAAACAGCCATCATATTCATGCGCTATTGAAGGATTTTATACTAATGAATAAATGTTAAAAACTATTCCAATGTACCTCCAAAGTTGTGGCATCTTTGGCTGACACACTCGTAGATACCGTAGATATTTGTAAATCCTTAGTATTGTAATTGCTTAACCGCACCATTTGTAATTTGCACGAGCGTGGTAACAAATAACATAAATAAATCTGTCCCACCAAATCGGTGTGTATAAAAGCTTTTGAGGCCAGTTCAATAAAGTCGCGATTGCTTAAATTAACATCAATTATGTAAACGAATGCACCATGATTCGATTTAATGTTAACTTACTTGATACACGTACTTTCAGTCCAAGTGTGTTCTAAACACAGTTCAGGTACAATTGGCTTTGAAGGTTGTGATTGACCGCATTTTCTAATATCACGTACAGATATCGAGTACTGCCCAATTGTAGATTGCAAATGACTTAAGGGTGAAGCGTTCGAAGAACGACTAAAATTTTGAAGATGGTTACATATAGGAGATCATTTGTTCATTGTGCTGACACTTACTTTAAATTGCTGAAAGCTCCACTTAAAGAATGAGCACTATTCAGAAATTTGCTAACATGGTTGGTATAATTAGAGCTCCGTCCTAAGTGAGGACTACTGCTCTTAGAACCAGCTATAGTTTCGAACAAAAAATGTAGTAGAAATCGATAGAAAAGAATAAGTGATAAAAATACGTACAACTTGACGCCAATCGTGTATATCCATCAAGTAGAGATAATAAATAACCAAAAATTTGTTGGCATCTCAAAAATATATATAATAGTCACGGCATTTTTTATAGACTTTTTTATCCATAGTTCAATGAGGGTTATTTTAAAAAAACCTTTAGATGAGAATCAAAGGACGACATACCAACATTATTAAACCGCCGTAGAACTTTGCACTTATTAAGAATTAGGTACACTTGTCGAGACATTCGACGTGTATCTCGGAAATTACGAAGATGGACTTATGTCTAGAAACAATTTTTTTAAAAACTGAGTTCTTCCGTTTTTTAACTCTTGTGAATTATTAGAACAGGATCAGTTTCAAATCATTTTAAATTTAATTTGAGCATCTTTGAAGCATATGGACATGGAAACTTTTATGACTAAATAAATTCAGAACCTCACGTTGATGAAAAAGGAATACATGTCTGCTTGTATCGATCAACATTTTAAATATTTTCCTCGTTTTATTTAAATTGAAGACTTACTTGCCGAATATTTTATTGAGTTCTGCGAGTAATTAGCCTGTCCGGCAGTTGTAACCAGGCTTGGGTTGCTACAACCGGCGGTACTAGCTTTATGGATGCTCGACAAATGCACCGTACTGGTAAAAGTCGTTTCATTTTGGGATCCTATGTATTGAATTTCATCATCAGCAGCTTTACGCAATTGTGATAAAAAATGTTTACGTATTTTCACGTCATACAATAACAGCAAATCAGAATTTTCATCCGAAAAAATTATTCTATAGTCTGGTTCAATCAAATATGATATAATACCAGCCGCAGACTTATTTAATACTGGACATATTTCATTAAGGGGATGAGTCATAGAAAATAAACGTGGCATGGAAATTGTATGATTTTGTATAGTCGTATTGGAGGCGACTTTTTCCAATAAAATACCAAAACGTGTTGGCCAAACATTTGAGACAGGAAATTCTAGACTAGCAATATAATCTTCGCCGTTGCTGCAATAAACCCGTAATGAATTTTGATCTGTAACGGAAGCAATGTTTTTTCATTCATTACATTAAATTAGACTAATATTACCTATTAAACAAATAGAAGTAGAGATTTTACAATCTGCATCATCCGCTACTATGTTTATAAAAGAATCGTTACAAAAGAAGGCGAACTTAATAGGAGTGTCGCAAGTGAAACACAAACGTGGTAAAATACTTCGTTCATTTACTAAACCTTAACATTAAAATAAGAAAAATACAAATTTCCCGTTAAAAAATGTTAATGCAATGACATTATCAACATACCCCTTGTCCACACCGCTGTGCACTTTTTTACGTAGAGTTCTTCTTCTGAGTTCACCAAATATTCACACATGTAATTATGAGGTTCAGCATTTTTGCTCTCCTTTACATTTGCTTTCATTCTAGTAAAAATTTTACTTTTCGAACCTCTAGATTTAACATTATTGGGTTTTTCATTCCATTCTGCTGATTCTTGCAGGGAATGATCTAAAAAGATCTCTCGAATACACCAGAATTCTTTATATTCCTCTTTCATCGAAATATCAACATTTTGCAAGCGATGCATTAATATTCTTTCTGACGGCAAATGAGGAGAGTATCTATCTTGGCTGGGTCCCGGGTGCTCATCGACCGCCGGCCGACCTCGTGGAATGAATTCCAATGGAGGCTCTGATACGGCGATCATTACTTCACCAGTTTCATCCAGATTTGCAAGTTTTTTCAGAACCAAACGTTACTCGCACAGAAATGTTTTTAAAATGTGTTATAAATAATCAGATATCAACGTCGATAATCAACTTTTATAATATTTCGTATTGAGAATATATTTTGAAACTATGTTAAAAAGCCAGTTTTTTATTTTACCGGCAATGACACTCTTATGTTATATATGTTTTGCTGTCTTTCATTTGTTCCACTCAAAGCGAATTAATAATGTTTTGCAAAAAAATAATGGTTGATAGACAACAGAGTTACTTTTTTAAAATTACTTTAGCGTAACGCAGGTGATAATCAGGCAAACAGGCGATTATCGAATTAGAGAGGATTGATTATCGCCAACAGACTATTTAGGTTCCATCGTCGCCATCTTTCCAATATTTTCTACACATCTCCTCAAATTTCCCATTTTAAGGTATTAATAACTAAGAAAGGTATAAAAAATTAGAGACACATTTTACGTTTAGTTGTTTTGTATAAACTAGAAAAATTATGTGTTTAAATTTGTAAGTTTTTTGTTGCAGAAAAAGTTAGTTATTATATCTTCTTTTTCACAGGTTTTCCATAAAAATGAATGTTAACACTTCTGTAGTTGTTGTATGCGAAACGTTTTCTATGCCCACATTTGAAAAATAAATAGAGGTCCAATATATAAAAAGTTTCATTTCCGGTATTTATTTCATTTTTATGTAAATTTTTGTGCGAGCTACAAGTTTAAAAATTATTTATATTTTTAAGATTGCTATGTTTATAAATTTCTTGTTTCTCCTCCTTTTTTTGTGCAGTGTCGCACAAATGTTTGGGACTCTTCCCAGCTTCTTTGGGCTGTAGTAGCTCTTTCGCTTGCCTGTAGAATGCGACTAAAAGGAAATTACGATTCATCGTGGTAATTTCATAAAAAGTTTTTTTTCTTTTCCTCACAATTCACAGCCCTAATTTCGCCGACACTTTTTTATTTTTTAAAATTGTTGAATAAGTTATTCATTTTCTAGCAGCTCTTTATATTTTTCTTTTGCAGTTGTTTTTACACGGGCAACTCTAAATTTCTTCTCAGCGACAATTTTTATTTAATTTTTTTATTTTATTGTCGCCAAATTTGACGTAATTGAGAGAGCGCATGTGAGGACCATCACCAGCAAATTTGCCAACACAATTAGATTTTCTTGGATATTGTCCGCTTCTTCATTATCACCTGCTTACGTGATTATCTTCCAGGCTTTTTTTTCTAGTGTTAAATTGGAGTGGACTATGCTAATAAGTGTGTGGCTTATATTTCCAGGTATGCTCCATATTAGAATATACTATCAGAATATAAGCGCATATACAATTCTTCCCAAAATTTCTTCCCATCTTTAAATAGAATATTACGTTAGGATTTGTGTGACAAACTAAATAAATAAAAAACAAATATACGGTCTAACAATGGATAAAAGAAATTTGCTTTGCGATAGTAAAGAAAACTGAAAATTTCAACAAAAAATAATCCTGTTAATGACAGCATAATGAATTCTAACGAAGGAAAGTGATTCAGTTGAATATATGTCTATATTTTTTAAGAAAATGTTCTCATCAATGAATAGATTTTGCTGCATAAATTAACATTCATAGAATTGTGTCTAATTTCAAATGGAACATCCAAAACATCCAGCATATATGTGCAGTTCTGATCGAAAATAATCATGTTATTTTGTATATTTCATATGTTATTTTAAATGAAAAGAGGTAGAAAACACAAGAAAGTTTTCACTACTTTCCCGACGGCTTTTCCCGATTCTTCTTCCCTTGAGTTGATCCCTTTTGTTCTTCTATCATCTCCTCTCGATGTATATATAGTGTTTTGGAAAATACGCAAACTAAACTTATTTAATTTTACAAGTTATCCGCCTGAATGGCAAGAGTCTCGACTTTCAACTCATGCATAATACCTATGGAGAGAGGTGAGTTAAAATGTATAACTAGTACACATATATTCGTACAATGTTTGCTGACTAGCCCTTCAGAGACTTTAAATGATCGTAATCCTATTTTCTTAGTCATAAATTCTCAATGTCATACATGCTTGAAAGTGTGAAGATTTTTACCTAATTGAATGTGTCAAAGGTTAATATCGAACATTTAAAATTTCTTGTGTTTTACAAGTTAGCTTAGAATTAAGCCGTCATAATTTTTAAACAAAGCCCCCGCTAAATTCCCTGTTAAAAGGCAAAGTACAGAGTTTCTTGTAAAAAATACTCTAAAAATGACAGCTTTGTTAAATGGTTAAAAGCCCAACTTAACAACTTAAATGTTAACGACAATCAGCTATGTTAAACGCGCAACTTAACAGACCAGAAGGTTCAACTCTGTAAAATAATGGAACAACATTAGGATTAACATTATCTAACGGACCAACTCTGTAAAATAACATTATCTAACGGACCAACTTAACAAAAGCCGTCGGCATAGCAAAATGAAAAATTTCCAAATTGTTCTAAATATCCTTATGTTTATTTAGGTTTATTATATGTTTCAGTTCTGTGAAGTCCACTATCTTGCCTTTTGACATTTTTATATCCGACCGCGCGATCAATGCCATATCTTTTTATGAAGACAGTATACGTCTCCCGATATTTTAACTGAGTTGAATGTCATTTAACAGAGGTTTGCTATTTAACACAGCTGAACGGCATTACCATTTAACCATTTAACAGAGCTGCCATTTTTTGACTACTTTTCTTATTTATTACAAGCAACCCTGTGCTTTGCCTTTTAACAGCGAATTTAGCGAGGACTTTGTTTAATTTGGTAATAAAAATCAAGGCGGTCTACTTTTAGGCTAACTTAACAGAAAACAAAGGTCCAACTAATCGCTTTCTATCTCTCCACTTCCTTCATCGTTTTCAACTTTTATATTCGATTTTTTCTCAGCTGCTGACTATTTGCCGCTCCATCTGTGGTAATTTCCTTCTTCTTTCCTGATTGTTAAAGATGTATTAAAAGCTTTTTTCTCCGATAGCATGCTTTGCTTTTTAAAAATAATTTTATTTTTTATACAAAGTAAGTTATCCTCATCACCATCACTTTCATGAAATTCATTTAGCAAGGCTTCCACGCTTTTTTTTCTTTCTTTCTTAGACTTTCTTGCCATTCGCTATTTGAAAACCTGCAGAAATAAAAAAAAAATTGTAAAAATAAGCATCAAAAAAGCGTGAGGAATCCATACCATGGGTTATCTGCTTATTTGCTTTAAACTTAGATATATCGGGAAAGTTATTATATTTATTATTATTGATCTTCTCGTTTTGATCTAAGATTTATTGTGTGCTAATGGACGCAAATAAGTCATCGTCATCTTCATCCCAATCATCATTTTTACTAACCCCAGTATTATACTGATTAGATAGATGGCATTAAAGCTAAAAAATTTTGGATTAACTTAAATATTGTCTCTTCACAAATTTTAAAAACAACTTACTTTCATTTACGTTGTACGTGTCGTTTTTCTAGATATCGTCGTAACAACGATCTGAAGCTTTTCCTAAGAAGAATGTGCAAAGTTAGACTTGTTAAAAAAAGCCTATAAAGAGCCACTTACTTTCTGTTTCTGGTGTAGAATCGTATGACTTTTTAGAATTCAAAAAATGCTTATTATGCAACAATGAAGATGAACATGTACTTATATTCTCATTGTCATAAATAGCGGCCTTGAATTTTTCCTCCAAATTTGATTTCGCTTTTTCTTTAAATTCACGGCTATAGTTAAGTTTCGGTTTCTCTCATAATTTACGAGTCGTCATATATTTTAAAATTCAATTCTTCTTCTTGCTCACACAATTTTTACAATTCTGGTTCTTGCGCCAAATTCATCAATAACTCCAAAATGCAATATGACTATCGGTTGTGCTATATGCCTACTAAAACGTTCAGAATTAACGAGCAGGACCAAAAAGATGATAAGTCCTGAAATCATCATCTCCCTTTTCAACATAAAATCTTCAAATCCCGAAATTGTGACATCCATCAAAGACAATATTCCTTCCGATCAGGAAATAATCGCTGATTCTAACTCTTCCTCTACCTTATCTGAAATCTCTGATCGTATTCAAATATTACACAGTATTTTCTAAATCAAGTTCTGTTATTAGCTCTGCCACACGCTTATCTCGCGACCTTCACAAGAGTATTCTTAACCAATGACTGCCTTCGGTTTTGTATTCGTATTCTCTCTCAATCAATAGCGATAATAACTCACTTTAATTGTACTAGAATCCGTAACAAATTAAAACAGCTTGAATAATACCTTCATTGTAATGACAACTTCGTGGCTTGACTTTCTGAAGCTTTTATTAAACCTCATGATTATTTTTCTATTAAGCGTTATAACTAGTTAGATTTTAGCGGATCTCAAACTATTCTCATGGTGGTGGTGTGGCGATCCTTCTATCTAAGCTTTCATTCTCTTACACTTTTAATTTTGCAAACTACTACTGAAGCTTGCAGCTGCCACTTGCTTTGGGGAACTCTAGATTATTAGTTGTTATATTTCACCTAATTGTAATGTTTATGATTCTGCAACATTTAAAAAATTTTAATCTGATGGGCTTAAAAGTGGTAAAATCGATAAGTAATGGTGAAGCCAAACATTTTTTCAACTCTTCCTCAAAAGCGAATAATTTTATTCTTAACGAAAGATTTGGAATTGTGCGTAATGTCCAGGTAGAATATAATCCAGTTTATATCAAAAGCAATGAAAATATTTCCCTCTAAGGAAAAAGAATTCCCAAAACGATTACTTTGAATTACTACATTCTCCAAGTGAATTCCTTCATTCTTACGCTGAGACAATGGTTTAAATGTGGCCGCTTCGGACACAATACCAAATTCTGTAAAACGTCTACTATTGAATGGAATAATATCCCATGTCTTCTATGTGCCTCTCTTAATGACAACACGGTAAGCAAAACATGCTCATGTAGGTAGAAAGAGAAACAGTCAAAATATCGAGAAAAATACTCTTCTAATTCAACTCTCTGGACATCGGCGAATACGATAACAACTTTCCTCCACTTCCCTCTGCGACCTTCATTGACAATATCAGAAATGTTAACCATAATAAAAGAGTACGCTACCACCTATAAAACTGCAGAGCTTGAAAAACTCCTATCGGATATTTTATAAGCTTTTAGGTCAGCGTCAATGTCATAACGAACAGGGACCTTTTTGGAAGAAATGAATCATTTTGCGAATTCGTATGATGCTCTCCATGCGGCGAACACCAATTTGTTGAACTTGCCTCAACAAACATGATTTCCTTTCTAGAGTATACCATTCAAAGTTTTAGACGTAATTTCTCATCCCTCGACTTTATTTGAACTCTAATCAAATGGACTTTTACTTGCTCAGTGAAATCTTTGGTTCCAGTGAGTTCTACTCACATCTAAAATTTACTAACGGGTATGGTGGCGTTGGTATTCTTATCAGAAACGGCATATGCTTTAAACGTATCCCTTTCGTCTCATTCTTGTATGTGGTCATAATTAGACCTTTAAACGTTCATCCAAATATCGTCATTGCTTCTGTATATTTTCCTCTTTGACGAGTTTACGAATGTTATCCTTAAAACTACGAAAAATAGAGGTAAGACCCTAATGAATTTAATTAAAGCAAGTAGCTTTTGCTGTCTAAACGACCCGTTCTCCACCTTCTATACGTCCTCTAATAATTCTTCTTCAGAAAGCATTTTGGTTCTAACTTTTACAAACTCCTTATATGAATTATTGAAAATGCCTTTTTAGGCAGAGGTTTCATAAATTCCACTGCCGCGATAGTAGAAATTGTATTCATACATTCTTGTATTGAAACTGTGTTTGAGCAAAACTTTTTACTATTTCTGCACCATAAAATTTCATATTTGCTATGATACGTTCGACTTATTTCATAACTATACATCAAATACAAAATATTATTGTTATTATACAAAATATTGCTATAATATATGTTAGTCGTTTTGATTGTATTGATGAGACAAGCAATTATCTAAAAATATTGAGAAAATATTTCTTGCATCTTAATATTTAAATATTTTTCAAAATTAGATATGTTTTAAATAAGTTTGGCCCACCACTAACGTGAAGTTTGATATTTGTTTTATTTTTTATTTGTATTTATTAATGTCTACCAAAATCCAATGAGTAAACAGTTAACTTTCTAGGTTAAATAAATTGCAATAAAAGGTTTATTGTTGCAAACAAGGATAAATCAATTAATAAAAATTTTTTAGATGAGATTAAAGATATAATTTGTAATCTCAAATAAATAATATGCAAAATGCATAAAAATTCGAAAGGTTCAATACATTACAATAAACGGACAACGTAAATTTTATGAAGATTTATTAAATATATGTATATAATTTCTAAAAATTTCTAGTGAAATGCTAGGTATAAGCAAAACTGCAATAGACGCAAATAAAACGTTAGATATTATTATTATTATTATTATAATTAATTTACCCACAGAAATAAATTCTAAAACTAAAGCAGTTGATCACTAGCATCTATGCCTGTCGGTTTTATTAAAAACTCTACTGCACTAGATATTTGAAGACACGACCATTGACTTGAAATCCGTTGCCTATTCGACCATTCATGCGAATAAAATTATATAGTGACAAAGATAATTTGTTTGTGTAATGCATTTCGAACTTGCGCGAGATGTTTTTATAGACAATTTACTTTATTTTGTGTCCTCTTTCATCTTAGGAATAGAAATCCTGCAGGTAATTTGCGATCCGTAACCCTAATGTAAAGAGTACTTGATGTTATGGATCATTCCTTGCTTCTTCTTGTCGCTCAATTAGGACAATTGTTAGGAGTTCGTTATGATAAGCTTTTAGTTTAGAACTTCCAGTTAGGTTTAGATAATTACAGGACAAATATTCGACATAACATGAATCATAAAAATACATTAACACGTTGCCAATTTATTAATTTTCGTTAGGTACTGAATAACCATTATCATCGTACTTTTATCTTTTAAGTAAGATATCTTTAAAACTATTACTCGAAATTATTTTCTTGCCGTCATGCCGAATAAAAGCAACCGGATCTTCAACAAAAATTATAAAAATCTCAAACTCATTTTCAGTTAAAACTTTACATTTGATCTAATTGTGAATTATCTAACCTATCACCTAAAATTTAGTTATTAATTTACTTTATTTAACGATATATTATTTATGTTTTATAGTGGTTTTGTTTGCAAATAGCAATCTTTGAATGATTTTTCGCGCAATTACAAACCAACGCATAATACGTTTTGTTTTACTTTTTTAGCTGGGATCTTTTTATGGCAGGGGACGCAAAAGCGCCTAAGTCTTTCCTTTGCTGATCTCATAGGAAGTGTTAAGACACAGAAGTAATGCGCTTTCTTTATCATCGCAAGCGTAAATTTGTATAACGTATTCATTCAACATTATATTTCTCACATAAGAAAATATACTTCTGAGATTTATTCATATTAAGTAAAATGAAGTACTTCATATTTACATGATAGAATAGAATTTGAAGGCCACCTATTCATCGTTGTTCCATCCGTTTTAGAATTGTTGTGAACTTTACTATATTTAGCAAGTGGCAGTTTTCAGTGCGTGGGTGCAACCATTTTTTATTTAGGTTGTGAAAAGTTTCATCAAAAATACTCCATCAAATAGAGTAAAAATAATGCCTTCACTGCATAGGGTTCAACAGGGATGGTTTGAAATATAATGAATGGTTCATGAGGAAATATAAAATTCCAGGATGTAAATGAACACTTTTTTATAACCTTTTTTCAAATTTTAACAGTAATAGGATTTATAGACAAAACTGGGCTCACAAAAGCCAAACGAAAATGACCACACGATCTATAATAGAAAGGGTTTCATATGCTAAATGTTACGATGATATTTATTATATAGAAATGTTAGTGTATGCACGCAAATATGTTCTATTTTTTTTTTAGATTTGTGATCACGACAGCCAAGTTATTGCAATCAACTTGAAATACGGAGAGGCAGCCTCTGATTCGATTTGGAAAAATTCATATAAGGGTGAGATTTGAAGAAAGAAATTTAAAAGTAACATATCCCGGAATTCTTGGTTATTAGATAATTAATGTAGGTGTATGTGCTCTAAATATTGATATTTTAGGTTGTATAACAAATATACCATTATTCTACTGTTATGAAATTCGCTTTTACTAAGATACAGTCCGTATCACTGGATCGTGGATATTTTGATCAAAAGAAATACACTTCAAAGTTTTTTCATTTTACTACTTTGTCTTTCACAACAGTAGGAATATTTATTTACAATTTATTTTGGCCGTACTCTCAACTTCTACGTTCTTGCCAGACTAACTCTACTTTTCACAAATATTCGAGTTATATACAATTTTACAAGAATGTTACTATACCTAAATTTATGGTTATGGTCTAATCCCAGCCTGGTTTTTCCTCTAATCGTTTTTATCGGCCTGCACTTAGGTTTTACCTGTCTGCTTTTCCGCTAATCGTTTTCACCAGCCGGCAGCTGCATGAGGCGCCTGCAAATGCTCATTTGGTTTTTCCTTCTTTAGGGAATTTATTATTACGAAAATTACTTAGCTGACATTAACTGAATTTGCGATTTTCGTAACACCACAAATGATTCCGGGTATCATCTGGAGCCGTGGTGCCTTGCAATTCAACGGACTAGACGAATGTTCATTTTATGGAATATATTTCAATAATAGAGTACACAATAGGCATTTTAAAGGAATGATGGAAAATATTGTGAAGTGGAACCTAGAGTCGTTATTCTTCGGTTGAAACAATACAATTTGCAAGCACTTGTATTGGCTGGTGTAATATTTGTGTTCGACATATGAAATTGAACGACACAACACAAAACAAACAAGAGTAAATTTATGTAGATAATTTTGATAACAATGTAACAACAATTTGAGAAAAAATCCGAACCGAAATAAAACATAGTGTTACGAAAATCCCAAATTCAGTTAAATGTCAGCTAAGTAATTTTCGTAAGAATAAATCCCCTAAAGAAGGGAAAACCAAATGAGCATTCGCAGGCGCCTCATACAGCTGCCGGCTGATGAAAACGATTAGCGGAAAAGCAAACAGGTAAAAGCTAAGTGCATATTCGCAGGCTCGTCATGCAGGTGCAGGCCGATGGAAACGATTAGAGGAAAAACCAGGCTGGGATTAGACCATAACCATAAATTTAGGTATAGTAACATTCTTGTAAAATTGTATATAACTCGAATATTTGTGAAAAGTAGGGTTAGTCTGGCAAGAACGTAGAAGTTGAGAGTACGGCCAAAATAAATTGTAAATAAATATTCCTACTGTTGTGAAAGACAAAGTAGTAAAATAAAAGAACTTTGAAGTGCATTTCTCTTGATCAAAATATCCACGATCTAGTGATACGGACTGTATCTTGTAAAAAGCGAATTTCATAACAATAGTTTAACAAATTAAACTCATTCTAACATTTTTTTTTTTCAAATCTCGAGCTCCTGTTATTCTTATTAGCTCCACCCTCCTTCGTCTGGATGGATTGTTTTTGAATGCTCAGCAATTGTTTCACGACTGAGCACTTGTTGACGCTATTTCAGATATATTGTTTAATAAGCTTGCAATTATTTTAATATTTTCCAACAATTTTTTTCTTAATTTCTTTTTCATAATAGTAATTTTTTGACGCTTTTTGCAACATTTTAAAATTTCCGTCATTAATTAGATTAGTTAGACTTTATTTACATTTATTAACCGTATCAAATACGTCTATTTCGTAATGATATTTTGTTTTATTCTCCCTCTCTCTCTCCCTTCAATTTTATATGATTTATGTGATGAATTTTATATATACCAAAATTGTATACATTGCCGACAGTTATAAACTCGCTACTCAATGAGTTGATTCGATTTTGGTAGTCAACAATTTAATCGCAAAAACTGCCGTCGAGCTTATTCGACTTCGTCTGTCATGAATCGACCTCTGGGTTCTGGGAGTTGTCACGTAACTAAGCAACTATAGTCGTAGTTACTGTCTTGTTCTCTTTTGGGATACAGTTCATTGTCGTCACGAGGCCAATCATGTACCATTACCGCCAATTTTTCAACGCTTACCGTCAAAGTTTCCAAGGCAATGCATTAACAACTTTGAGAGACGTAAAAAATAAGACGCGATTTGACGTTTGTTGGTTTTTCATAAAGAAACCACCAAGCAGATAGCTTCTAACTTCCTGCCACAACTGCATCAATTGAGGTGCCTCCACCTTTCCACCAAATATCAACACCATCAGCCTTATAGGTCGTTGGAGTATTCTAATAATGTTATTCGACTTACTCATCCGTCTCGTGGTGATCATTTCTTGTTCGTCGCGGCTCTTCTTCTTTCCGTTTTCAATGAACAAGCATGAAAGGAAGTTGTGAGATACCTCAATTTAACTCGATATTTAAAAACAAATTGTAGTTACTTTTAACAAATTTTTCTTTCCTCCCTCTTTCTTTTTGGTTCATTGAGTCGAGATGGACTGACCCAATAGATTTGTGGCTTATATGTCCAGATAATAAACTGTCGTAAATTTTGATAAGAAGTATATATCAACCGCGACAAAAAAAGAGCGGCCGTAATAACTGGAGCCGGTAAGTTAAGAGTAAATGTGTGTGTATTTGTCTGGTTGAGTTATTAAAAGTCAAACAGTGCCGCAAACTTTTGCTGAAAACAAAAAAAGAAATGCTAGATAGATAGTAATAGACAACGATTGAACGCAAAAAATAAATTAAAACGATAAATTCGCTTTTCTAATAAAGTAAGTTAGTTCCCCGAGATGACGTACATTTTTTGCTGCAAAGAGATCGAGGAGACCATCATATAACTTGAAGAAGCAAAAAGAACCTTCACAAACTTCATAAACATCACATGGTATATGTAAATAAACTTTATCATAAGTGTGACCAGGAGTTTCCCAGGAATTAAAACAAGCCACAGAAAAAAATTTGAATTGATATATGGGATTTATTGCGTAGGAAAGGCGATTGGATTTAACACACACAATCTTTTTAAATCCGTCATTTAGCTGTTGAAGGATGTGGTTGAGAATTGCCCAAATTGTCTGGTTGAGAGTGTATTTGATGGACAAAATTGTCCCATCAATATGAGCTCTCCCTGCATGAAAGTCGACTTTTACATTTAAAAAAAACCACAGTGGCCAGGTATCCAAACAAGGTGACAGTCATCCCTTTGAGACTCATGTAACATCCATGCATATCAAAGGCGTATTGATTCTCTGCATCTCTTTTATTTATTAGAAGTAGAGCTGACTTGCTATCAGAAAAACAACGAATATTTTGATACCGTCAGTGATAACAACCTTGATAGCATGTCTGATGGCAAACAACTCGATAAAAGTCGAGGAAAGTTCCTCCGCCACTTTGACTCGATGTACTATTTTAGATAGATGTTTCACAACCGAGAAGCGAGATACATTATGTCCGACGGAATCGTCGGTGGCATATATATCATAGCCGTTCTTGTAATAAAGAAGGAGCTTTTCTTGGCATAACGTCCTCATATAAGAGAAATATACATTTTGTTTTGAGGTAGAGATCGATTCGAAAATGTTCATGAAGACTCTCGTGTTGGTAATAAAGTTCCACAAAGGAATTGAATCTATTTTGTCAAAAATATGGTGAAGTATTTGATAGCAAAAAAAGGCAGGTGCAAGAGAGCCTCGGTAGTGCAGTTGGCAGCGCGTAAGTCTTATAATCTTTTTCCTCCTTTTTGGGTACGAGTTAATTCACAAATTTAAATTCAAAAAAGAAAAACAATTCCATTTCTAGCAGCTAGAGTAAAGGAATAACATGTTTACGTTTGTTTATATATTTCTCTTGCAGCTGTCTTACTATGAATTCAACTCCAGAGAGTTTTGTAGTAATATTCCTCGGTTTACACTCAACACTAATGCAAATTTGTTCCCATCGATGTTGTCACTAGATTGGCCAAAAACGAGAGAGACAATTACCAGCAAATTTTTTGCAGAGTATGCAGTAATTTCTGTGGCTTTGTTAGCACAATGTGAATACGACAAATTTTTAAATACTCAAATCAATTCCATTTTTGACTTCAATTCGGAAACATCCAAAGGCCGCGTTACAGAAAAAATTATATATGTTCTCCTTAGAGGCTGCTCTTCGTGATTATTGAATTTTTGGACTTCTATTTAAGCAGCAATGTGTTGGGTTCTTATATTCTTATGGAGGTGTTTGGATCGGACAATAATGATAATTTAAATATTTTGAAGTTTTCTTCTGTGACAAAGTTCAGAAACGATGGGTATGATGGCCTCTGTATACTTATTAAATCCAGTATTGATTTCAAGGAAATAGCACTCAGAACAGATTTACATATACTGATTATGAAAACAATCTATCTTAATTCTAACCTTACAATCATCGCAGCTTACCTTTGATTAAGGATTACTCAAAGAGCTGATTTCCTTTATTAAATAAGCGGATGTTGTAAATTGATGTTCTGTTTAATCTAAATTATTCATCTACCACCATATACATTTTTTACGTTTATTTCAGTGATGAAGATAGATTAGTTTTATTTTGTTTTTACATGACGGCAAAGCGTACAATGTTTAATTGTATGATCAATTGTATGATGATTGATGATCGATTTGTTTAAAAAAAATTTTTTTTTGTATTCCTTGGCACTGATTGTGCACGATGTTAATAAGGTTTTATTTTTGACCTTTTAGCTATAGCGAGAATCGCTTTCTCAAAACTGCCAATACAGCCGTAGGCAAAATTGCTTGAGCTTTACGTTAGGTTGTTTTGACCAGCATTTATAAGAAAAAAAAACTGTAAATTAAAGATGAAACAAATTCCAAACAAAATTTGTTACTTACACACAGCTGAATCAAGACAATAATTTGAAATTTGTGAAAGGTAAGTAAATTAATTCTGTTTTCTATTCTCTTTTCCACTTGTCTACTTAATAGTCTTAATTCGCCAACGCTTATAGTCGATTGCGTATAATT